ACGGGATGAGAGAAGCCGTTAGCCAAGAGATAGATCATCTCGTTCAGACAGGAATCTTGACACCAGTTGCTTGCGCTGACTGGGCAACGCCTCTTGTTCCGGTAGTAAAGAAAAATGGGTCCATACGACTTTGCGGTGACTTCAAAGTAACAGTCAACGCTGCTTGCCACACGGAAAAATATCCGTTGCCCAAAATTCAAGACATCTTTGCTAGCTTAAGTGGAGGCGAAGTGTTCTCTACAATCGATCTAAAGGACGCTTACAGTCAGCTACCTCTAGATGAGAACGCAAAGCAGCTTCTAGTCGTTAACATGCAAAAAGGACTATTCTGCTTCAACCGGCTCCCTTTCGGTGTAGCGTCCGCCCCAGCAATTTTCCAGAGACGCATGGAAGCCATCCTTCAAGGAATACCGGGTGTTCAAGTTTACTTGGATGACGTGGTTGTGGCAGAGAAGCAAGACAACTGCGAAAAATTGCGCGAAGTCTTCCAGAGGTTACGGGACTACGGTGTGAAGCTTCACCCAAGCAAATGCAAAATACGGAAGAAAGAAGTTGAGTATCTTGGGCACCGCATATGCGCAGATGGCCTTTTGCCGAAAGCGGAGAACATTGAAGCAGTATCAGCAATGCCCAGGCCCACATGTGTGGCAGAGCTGCGGTCATTCATCGGCTTTGTGACGTATTACCATGCATTCCTTGGCAACTTGTCCACTGTTCTCGCACCGTTTTATGAACTGTTAAAGAAAAACGCCCGTTGGCAGTGGGGAGCAAGACAAGAGGCCGCTTTCGAAGCAACGAAACGCCTCGTCAAAGGCGCCAAATTCCTCACGCACTACGATCCGCAAAAGCCCCTCGTGTTAGAAACGGACGCGTCGTCTTACGGCATCGGGGCTGTTTTATACCACCGGGTCAACGGAGAAGCGAAGCCAGTTGGATTTCGGTCGCGCACTCTGACTGCCGCAGAGCGGAATTACGTACAAATTGAGCGTGAAGCGCTGGCAGTTGTCTTTGGGGTGACCAAAGTTCGTGAGTACCTACTGGGTAATACTTTCACGCTAATTACAGATCACAAGCCACTTCTGCGACTGCTCAGCCCGGACAAGCCCGTACCTGCTCTGGCAGCGGCACGGATCCAACGTTGGTCTTTATTACTCAGCGGCTACACGTACACGATCGAGTACAAGGCAGGAAAAACCCTTCCGGTAGCTGATGCCCTGAGCCGCCTTCCGGCAAGCTACCAGCACGATGCCAGTACCATGGAGTCCATCAATAACGACGCCCGTGAGTACGTACTTTTTGCTGAGCAACTAGACACCACCCTGATGTCATCTAATGATTTGGCCCGGGCGACAAAAGTAGATAGCACCCTCAAGCAAGTCGCTGTCTATATTCGCGACGGCTGGCCTAGGAAACTACCGAGATCAAAACCAGACTTACGTCCATTCTTTTTCAAAAAACACGAACTTGTGTGCAGTAAATACATTGTCTACTGGGGCCACCGAGCGATAATTCCGGTCGCCGCCCGGAATTCCGTACTACGCATGCTGCACGAGACTCATCAAGGGATGACGTCGATGAAGAAGTTGGCGCGCTCCATATTTTGGTATCCTGGGCTGGATCGGGACATTGAACGTGTGGTAAACACTTGCCCTGTATGTGTGCAGTGTAGCAGCATGCCACCTGCCAAGGAGCCTGTGCCATGGCCGGAAACCAAGGAAAAGTGGTCAAGGGTGCACGTAGACTATGCCGGCCCGGTTGACGGACATATGATGCTCATCACGGTTGATGCTGATCATCATATGATGATCATCGATGATCATATGATGATCATCATATGATCATCATATCATGATGATCATGATCATCATGATCATCATCATCATCATAATCACTGCTCATCATATCATGATCATCATGATCATCATATCATGATGATCGTGATGATCATCCACGAATCACCGCGATGATTATCATATGATGATGATCATCGCGATGATCATCACCGCGATGATCATCATATGATGATCATCGCGGTGATTCGCACACGAAGTGGATAGAGGTGAGCCCAGTGAAGATAGCCAGTGCGGGACGGACTATCGAAGCCTTACAATGAATGTTTAGTAGGTTTGGCCTGCCCCGAACCGTGGTTTCCGATAACGGGCCACAGTTCACTAGCGCGCAGTTTCAGTCGTTCATGAATGAAAACGGAATTCGCCACTTTCGCACCGCGCCTTATCATCTGCAGTCCAACGGTTTAGCAGAGAGGGCAGTGCGAACGATTAAACTGGGACTGCGCAAGAACGCTAGAGGCACACTGCAAGGCCGATTAGACCAACTTCTGTTACAGTATCGCCGCACCCCTCTGCCCAGTGGGAAAACGCCAGCGTTCACGCTGCTGGGTTTTGAGCCTCGATGCAAGTTGGATAACATCGTGTCATGTCGGCCATTTTTTCACGCAGATACGGAGCACCCCGGAACCACTCGCCAAGTTGGAGGCTCTGTTTGGTACAGGAACTACGGGACAGGAGCCAGGTGGAAGGCTGGCGTCGTACAGACCCCTAAGGCCACCGCATGGTAACCATCAAGGCCGCAGAGGGCGAACATCATCGCCGGCATTATGACCAGTTGAGAGGAAGAGAAACCGACAGCACGGGACTCGCTGCCGGTGAAGCAGAAGTCAAGCAAGAGCCCGGGGTTGAGGCACCGCAGACGGAAGCTGGCGAAACCGGTGCACCACTGATCTCAAGAGAACCCCAGAGCCCAGGTGCGCCAGACACAGACAGCCGACCAAATACGCATGATAACCAGGTTGGAATTGACGCCAGCGGCGCGCAATCTGATGGCAATAAAGAGTTCGATCCTGGCGAAACCATGTTACGCAGGTCCACCAGAAACCGACGCCCGCCGGATCGCTACCAGCCTTAAGGGGAAAGAAGGCTGATGCATCGTCATTTGCACATGTCACTGCCACTGCGCACGTTGTGTGCGCATACCCTTCAGAGGCTATAAAAAGCCTCGCTCCCAATAAACGTTCACTGTTGTACAAGCGTGTCTGTACGCTTCACATTCAACTAAACACGTATATGTGGTTACCAATGATATTGCCCAAGGCACCGCATCTGGGATCCGTCATTGTTTGTAATGGTGTAGGGCCCGCCAGTCAGCGACTTTGGCAAAGCCCATGTCTTTGCACTTACATTGTCCTATTTTGGGGGCACTACCCAGTAGCTCCAACAACACTATTACGGTGAAAGATGTTTGCTTTACAGAGCAGGATGATCAATGATTGTGCAAATGTCCAGCCTCACTCCACTTTCTGCCATTAAGAAAAGAAGAATGAACAAGATAGAAGGCAGAGAGGCTAACCAAACACCTGCCCAGTATCAACATTGCGAGCGCGACAAGCGAATGACTCTTCATTTTCTTTAGATATCATCATCACCTGTACATCTTCATCTTCTGTAAATATTATCACAAGTGTGATTTAGCTCGAGCCTGGCTGAATAAACCGGTTCCTCCCAATATGTACAAACATGTCTGACAGAAGTTGCACAAGAAATAATTGGGAAATATTTGACCACAAGGAATCAAAGTTTTATTGTGTGAAACGAAATCCTGAGAGAGTTTTGTCAAAAAAAAACTGGAAGCCTACAGACGGCTCACTTTTACAAAGACGGTGAGCCATCAAGGATAACATGAAACCAGCAGTTCGTTCAGAAATCCCAGTCACACCACACTGAGCCCAAGAGTGTATGTAGTTACACCATCCCTACAGTGGAAATTTCACACTGTCACTATAATGCCACGAGTTTCAGACTAGGTTAATTCTAGCACACAATGTTAACATGGCCCACCTAGAAGAACAACAATACGATGAAAAAGGGACCAAAGAGGTTAGGAAAGCAAAAGACGGAAAATAGAAGAAAAGTCAATTCTCTATGGGTTCATAAATGAAGGGTGGCCATATAAGTGGTGGCCATATGACAACCGGCATCCATCCAACACACAGAATTCCACAAGCAAGGCTAGGCCCAGGGTGTGGCCAAGTGGTCAGATACGTTTCTTAGCTTACGTCTGTGGTGTCACTACACCCCCAAGCTCATCATCTTTACTTCAACAATGCTGGAGGTCCAACCAAGACTTTCATGATGCGTCACAGAAATAGTATGTATAAATGCGAACAGATGGCAAAAAAACAAAACTGAACCCACGGCCTCTCAGTCTACAACAATGGCTGGTGGGCGTTCAACCGACTCCGCCACCATCAAAGGCATGGAGGGTGCTCCACGGATGCACCTTCCTTCTAGGTGTCGCCAGCTGGATGTGCAAATCAGGTAATGTGTGGCTTCCATTCAGCAGACTTTGAATACGAGAAGTGTCATTTTGTCGAAGTTTTAAGATTGCAAGATGGCGGCTTTAACCCAGCCTCGCTGATGGATGGCATTCATGTACAGCTCTTTGGTGCTCACCTGGCCGTCCAGTGCATTCTCCACTTGCTATGTGAGGAATCACAGTCAGGCTAGAGAGAGGACACAGTGCGCATTGCGTTTCCATCCACATTTCATGACGCTTTGATGCAGTGCACGTCTTTTTGCATAAGATTCAACATGTCCAGGACGTTAACAATTTCAGCCACCCCAGAGGCAGAGTTCGCTTTATTACACTTTGGCAAGGGTTAAATCATGATTATGAGCATCATGTGTCAGGATGAACATGTGCGACAAGGCATTAGGATGGGTGCGTCCACATAAAACATTTCTATATATGCCAAACACCAATGGACGCTGTACAAGCTCTCATATGTCAATACAGAATAAACAATCAACTATTACTTCTATAAAAACTTTTTTTTTATGCTATGCAGATTCATTGATGAAGAGATCAGCCATGTTTTTGCTATTAGACACTGCTCCAAAGCTGCAAAATATAACTAACATATAGAGTCCAAGACACTCTTCAATCAATTTCATATACAGCGGGGATGCAGGAAGTGGGCTCACCTTGGTCAACCATATTCTTGTGCACCATTTCACTCTTCTTGACACTCTTGATGGCAAAGAACTGACCTTCACTGCCTTTCTTTTGTGCTAGATACACCTTACTGCATGAAAGAAATTTTCCGCAGTTAGTATAAACATTGCTATTTACGTTCTACAAACAATAACAACCCTGCCCTACTCATAGCATTTTTCTTGCTGCCAGCTGCTTAACAAAGTTGAGCAGGCTTAGCAGCGAGTACCATATTGGTACTTGCTGCTAATGAAAGACTAACCATTAGGTACCAGCATCCCGTCATGGTCACACATATTCCAATGAAGTTTTTTGACTTATGAACGTCTTAAAACTAAGAAATGGTATTGTTATACAAAGTAAAGCTAGGAACTCTTTTCGACAAGATCTCGCATAATTCCACAGAACGCTGGTTAAAGAGAATATGGCCACTCCGAAGCAGAAGCAGTTTTTGTGTGATCAGTTCTCTAAACTTGAACTAAGTGTTGAGAGCAAAGCAAGTTTACATACAATCTAATGATGCCTCAAGATATCGTGCACTAGCAATGACGCCCTTCGAACAATGCTGGCACGATGGGTGGGTGTGTACTATGGCGTAGACACTTCACAGTAAGCTTTTCAACACCAGAATATATCAGGACAATCATCAATGGGCCAACTACACACAGCTGCACGTACCAAAACAGAAGTGTGGCTGCTCCAGCCTGGAGGCATACATTTATTAATGAGATGACATTTTAAAGATTCATATGTGGGGTTTAACATCCCAAAACCACTATATGATTGTGAGAGCGGCCTTTGTGGAGGGCTCCGGGAATTCGGACCACCTGGGGTTCTTTAACGTGCACCCGAATCTGACAACACGGGACTACAACATTTTCACTTCCATAGAAAATCCCGCAACCCACAGGTCAGCAGGAGATGACATTTTTAAAAAATAAAGCGATCAATTCAAATTAGGATCTTAGCACACATGAGCTTGAAAAGGCAGGGCCATTGAGAGGCATTGACCGGAACATCAATAATGAACGTAGATGTGTTAGTGAAATCACAACTACATTTTTGTTGCAATTTACAGGCCACCAAGTGGCAATTTCGATTCATTTTTTCAATATTTAGAAAACTTATTTTCCATTGTAAACCAATTTAATTACAAACTAGTGCTAGGAGGTGATCTTAACATAGATATCTTGAGCGACACACATAAACAGATGAGACTTTCAGACCTTCTTGCTTCTTCTTTCTTAACAAACGTAATTACCATTCCAACACGTATTACTGATACCACTTCTACTCTATTAGACTTCTTTATCACAAGTAGTACAAACAGTACGTTACAGGCAGGCATCCTGCGTGCCCCGATAAGTGATCATTTGCCCATATATCTAGTCAAAGAAAACATAACCAGTGTAAGGAGTCAAATCCTTCGTGCCGTTCACTTTGAACAAATTAATCCACGAACGCTATCTTCTTTTAGAGAGGAAATTAGAACTCTAAATTTTAACAACGTTCTATTTAGTTCTTCTGCTGATCTTGCTTATGATTGTTTTATTGATACTCTATGTTCTGTGTATAAAAAACATTTTACTTACAAAGCTTTCAAGAGATCAAAATGGGCGCGCAAACCTTGGATTTCTTCCGCAATACTCAATATGATAAAAGAAAAAAATAGGTTGTATCAAAAGTTTCTGATAAAGCGAGACCCAGATAAATTTAAAGCTTTAAGGTATACAGAAATAAACTCACTAAACTACAAAAACAAGCTAAACGCAATTATCACTTCAAGATGTTTGACGGTGTCACCGATTCTAAGCAATTATGAAACAAACTTAATGCTATTATATCTACCAAACAAGTGTCTAATGATATTAGTGAGCTGGTGATCGAAAATAAAGTATACAAGGGCACAGTACTAGCAAACAAATTTAACGAGTACTTTACCTCACTAGTTGACAGTAGTTATAATTGTGATTCATCAGGTTATTTGCCTCCTGCTTTAAATAATTCTGTGTTTGCTAATCCTACAGACGCACAAGAGGTCATCAGCGTTTTTCAGCATTTCAAATTGAGTAAAAGCGAGGACATAGATGGCTTAAAATTAGAACCTATAATATACATTTTAAATCTCATATGTGCCTGCTTAGTACACATTTATAATCTCGTGTTCACCACGGGGCTGTTTCCTCAGAGAATGAAAAACGCTAAAGTAACTGTTATATATAAGGGTGGGGACAAAAGCAATTTAGGAAACTACAGGCCAATTTCGATTTTACCAGTTTTCTCTAAGGGATGTGAAAAACTTATTTTCATTCGGTTATCTAATTTCTTTAATAAACACAACATTATTAGGCCGTCACAGTTCGGTTTTCAGTCAGGCCTCTCAACCGAAAGTGTCTTACTATACCAAAAGGAATTGATTCTAAGAAATATAGAAGCAAAAAAACTTACCCTATGAATATTTCTAGATTTCACGAAAGCTTTCAATAGAATAAACCATGATATTATGCTAGAAAAACTTGACTATTATGGAGTTCGCGGTACCGTTTTAGCTTTAATAAGAAGCTACTTATCTAATAGGAAACAATGTGTATCAATCAATCGAAAGCTATCATCATCCATGAACGTTAAGAATGGTGTACCTCAAGGTAGCATTTTGGGACCCCTATTATTTAATATTTTTATCAACGATATTGTACGTATTGACAGCTCTGTAGAATATGTAATCTACGCGGACGATACCAGTATATTTTTTTCTGGGGAAACGGCTGATGACCTCATTGTTTCTGCTAATGAAATACTAAATAAAATATATGCCTCGACTGTGGCAAATTCTCTACACATTAATCGCTCTAAAAGCAAAGCTGTACTGTTTCGTGCGAAAGCCAGGTCATTTGAAACGTCTCACAAACTAATACTTAATAACGTTGAAATTAAACTTTGTCAAACAGATGAAACTCTCGGTGTCTATTTTCACAAACACATGGCATGGAATTACCATGCCGAGCACATCAGTCACAATTTTTGTAAAGTTTTAGGTGTGTTGTGTCGATGCCAGAACATACTACCTGTGAAACAAAAAATATCAGTGTATAATGCTCTTTTTTCTTCACATTTACACTATTGTTATCTGGACTGGTCCACAGGCTCTAAAGCATCTCTAATGAACCTGGTCGTGTTACAAAAAAATGCCTTGCGGTGCATTAAATGTGTATCCTATAATGCACACACTGCTTCAATATTTGCAAAATATAGAATTTTAAGAATTACCTGTAATTACGAATACCAGCTTTTGTCAGCTTTTAAATCAGTAATACGCAGAGGAAGTATCTTTTTACACACCTTGGCTACCTTGCAACCAAATCCTGCCAGTCGCATTACTCAATGTACGGAAACTTAGCACGTACCTTGTCCTCGCACAAACTATGGATTTGAAACACTATGTTACCGCCTTCTAAGTGTGATGAACAAATGGAAAAACTAACAACTGATAATCTGCGTATATTGTCTAAAACTGAAATGTTAAATCGGATGTGCTGATTGTGTTGTAAATTAATGTTGGGTGATTTCTGTAATAGTTATTCAGTTTTTATTCTTTCATACATTGCTTTGTAATGAATATTTTTTTATGTATTTTAGAGTTGTCATTCTATTATTTGCTATAATGGGCCACATGCGTGTTTCTTTTTGTATTGTCGCTTTCTGCTGCCTGTAATTTTTGTATTTCTGTAAATTTGTAGTTTAGATTTTTTGCTGGGTGAAGGGGCCAGTCAAGCTGTGAAATGCAGCTTTTTTCCCTTCGCACCAAACCATGTATACAGTGCATTTTCGTGTACTTGTCATTAGGTTAAATAAACTCAAACTCAAACGAATTATGAAAAAGCTCTTCTGAATAAAGATTCATGAATAAAATATATTTGAAGTCAATCCCACCGTTTAAGTGCAATTCTATGGAAGCCAAGCATAAAAAATTTGATATTGTTCCTTGAGTCTATTTTTATGGTGTTCCCAGATTTCATTCCACTATGTCCCGACATAGATGCGACAGAAATTCTGGCAATACGCGTGCAGTAGTGAAAAATGCTTGAATTATGTACGTACAGTGCAACTCTTGAAGGGAGCTATCAACAGTCTTTCTAGAATGAACTATGTCTATCGATGAATCGCCACCATGCTTAAACGCATCATGCGCCTGAGCGGAGGGGGCATTGGACCGACTAAGACAACAGAACCTGCGTCAACCCCCAAAACATGGCTTACTTGGGACTGCTGTTTATTCCGCAGAATAATTCTTGGTGCGTGGTTGTGACTTTGGTGGACCCAAGAACGAGCTTGATGCATAACTAATATCGGTGATACCTGAGACTTTGGGGCAACTTCCTTTGATATTATAAAGATGGCGCAGTAAATCTAATTTGTGACAGGAGTGGAATCACTGTATTCATGTTGAAAGACTGGACTTGCAAACATATTTGACATACTCACCCGAAGGCACCTCGGCTAATCGGCTTGAGCACCACAAAGTCGTCAATGCTTGGGAGCTGGAGTGAGAAAATTGCATCATGTCTCAACATATCTGCTGGTGCACTCATAGAATGGGGTCTTCAAAGCCCACATGGAGTAAGGCATCAAGGAAATGAAATCCCAGGCGCTATGTTCAATGCAGCATCCTGAATCGTGTTTATATGTTCAGATTGTGGATTAGCTTACTTTATCGCATAAAATGTAGCTCATTAAAAGTAGCTGAACAGAGACATACCTAACATGTGTTTTGATAGCACACATTAAATGATGCCCTATTCATGTTTATGCAGAGTGATCGTTGGGCATAATTTTAGCATAGATCTAAGCACTGAAATAAACCAATTTAGTCATTTAAGCAAGACATAATATCCCTACATCGCTGTCGATTGCATCAGCACGTAGTGGTGCTCGCCCGAACTGCTGCAGGAAGAAACGGAGGAGGATGACTGCAAGCTTACGATTGGACAGATGCAATGTTAGAAGAGATTGTGGCGTGCCATCAAAACTTAGATTACTAATGGTCGATTCCACGAAAAATAAAAAAATGTGGTATACTTGATATCTCTGAATTTTTCTCGTAAATGTGTATATTATGCTAGTATGACCGAATAGTGCACAATCACACTTTGTTTTCAAATAAAAAAAATTTTTTATCCGAGCAAAAATCGAGAAGCATCGCCAGATGACAACGGCCATTTTACGAAGAGGGCATTTTCGTGAATTTGCGATCATGCTAACAGCAACACAAGCTATGTATGCATCACAAATATTTTTCTGTGCAGCTCAAATAGAAGTAATGGAGAAATAGCTCACTCGGTGTTTTCTCATTCTGGGCCACTTCAGAATTTTACGAAATTCTCGAAAAACGCTATGTTTTTAAACCTCACTCATTTTATGGGCACAATTTCTGCTTCTGTGGACGTCAAAGCTTGTTCATACTTGCAGCTCTGTTAGTCCCTTGTGTGAATAGGTCTCTCTTGCATTATCATTTGTCTAGTAATTTTCCAAGTAATGAAGCTCGTTACTTGAAATGTAAAAAAAAGTAGGTCAATTAAAAAATTTCTAACCAAAAAACACCACCTTCAATTGTGCTTTAGTAACTTAAATTGTACTCATAAGCCTGCATTTTTATGTTCTGGACGAACATGTTTCATCATTTTGATCAGAACAAACTTACAAATTTTCCGAAATTCTGTTTTCAGAGTGTGTTCGCTGTCACATGAATGACATCTGTTTAGCAAGAAAACACAATAACATATTTTCTCTCCTCTGATTTCACGAAATAACAGTAATTAAATATTTTCTGAGACAAAGAGGTGTTCTCTAAAGAATCAAACAAAAACACCTCTCGAATTATATGCATTTGCACAACATATTGTAGACAAGAAAAAAAAAACACAAGCACCACTTTTGTGTGGCTACTTTATACTTCTGTTTAAAACGAACGTTTTCCAACTAGGCTGACGCAGTTTTTTCTTTTTTCAGTGCGTTTTGGTTGTTCCCGACATCATTGCAGTGCTTGCAAACGTGCAGCACGCACTTTTTCTAGTCTATGCTTTTGTTTTTTCAGTAAACGTGCCGATAGAAAACCAATGAAGCTTCACGTAATATCGTGTAGGTGAAGTTAACCTCCTAACACTCTTATAATTTAAGAATCCACAAACGGCGACAGTGCCAAACGACGAGCCCCGCAATGCGATCTGAGGACCACAGCGCCACGCTTCGCCCGGCTTTGTCTCAGTACAGAATGCAGGGACATGCATTGCATCGTTTACACGACGCATTCTCCTTTCTTTGTGCATTGCAGCCCAACCAGTTCACTAGATTCGTGCCGTGTATATACGAATCGTGTGGAGGCTTGAGTGGCCCGCGCTTCGTGCCTTACTGTAAATATAGTAGCGTGCGTTCTGCGAGTGCATGCAACGCATGGTGGTTTAATACCGTCAGCAATCGAAGTGGCGGCGCAATCACAAGGCAAGCCGAAGAAAATTGATATAATCAGTGGACCTACAAGATGAAGTCCTTCCGGAAATAAAAAAAATTTGTAAATATTCTTTATTTTTGCAAAGGCCATCCTGCCACGTATGTTTTCCAAAGTAATCGAGGTAAGATTCACACAAAGTATGCCGAGTCCATTGCCAACACTATTGGCACCACGATTGGCATGATCTACAAGTTTTAAACACTGCTAATGGCATATCGCTTGAAAATGTACAATTTTGGCCCAGCAAAACTCAAACACGTGACGACTGCTCTCCAGAAGCTTGATTCATTTTCTGAAGACACCTTGTGTTGTATATCAACTTTTTCAATTTTGTGACAGCATGGCATAAGATAAACGCATTGAGGAAGTCCACTAAAAATTACTAGCATCCAAGGCATAAATTTGGTTCCAGTTCTACAAAAAAAAAATAATGAAAAACAGCGCATGACAGGAGGGGCTGCCTTTGGACTGAGTGATAACGAACACGAGTAAACTACTCAAATTCACTTTGTTATAGACTCATCTTTTTTCTTTCTTTTTGACACTTTTCAGTCGCATGAAATGTTTAATTACTGTTGTTTCGTGAAATCACAGAAGCAAAAAATATGTTATTGCATTTTTTTGCTAAATAGATGTTATTTACGTGACAGCAAATACACTCTGAAAGTTTCTAAGTTTGTTCTGATCAAAATGATGCACCATGTTTTTCCAGAACATAAAAATGCAGGCATCTGAGAGCAATTTAAGTAATGTTGAGCATAATTGAAATATGTTTTTTTATTAGATACTTTTAAATTGGCCAACAGTTTTTTTTTATGTTTCAAGCAACAAACAAGGGTCTATCAGTGTTGCAAATATGAACAAGCTATGACATTCACAGAAGCAGCAATTTCTCCCTATAAACGAGTGAGTTTAAAGAAACAATGCATTTTTTGAAAATTTTTTAAAATTCTCAAATTGCACAGAATAAAAAAAGACCAAGCGAGCTATTTTCCCATTGCCTCTAGTTGAGCTACGCAGTGTGATACATAGCTTGCTTTGCTGTTAGCATGATCGCGAATTCGCAAAAATGCACTCATCATAAAATTAACGTTGTCCCCCGGCAATGCTTTTCGATTTTTTCTTAGGTAAAAAAATTTATTTAAAAGCAAAAACGATTTCCCACTATTCGGTCATATTAGCATAATATGCAAAAATGGGAGAAAAATCCGAGACACCAAGTATACCTTGTTTTTATATCTTTTGTGGAATCAACCTAATGTGTTTCATTTTTCTTTTCCGTGCTTTTTTTTTTTTAACCCCAAAGAAATGTGGCCACAGCAAAAAAATATTACGACTACAAAGCACAACAAAGATGCTTGCTACTATTTTGCCTCTCATCATTTGGCTTAAACACGTCAAATATCCATACAAAAGGCTTATGTCAGCACACTTGACGTGTTGTGGCTTTTATTTCATATTATATGCGCAGATAACAAACGCTTGTCAGACCTGCAGCTAGTTCCGATAACAAAGAATACCTAGGAAATCCTAGCACAGGAGGAAATCATAAAAAAGAAAGGGGCTGCAATACTTGCACTAAACAAAACTGTTTATGTTCATTGTTCAGATCAACAGAAAACAATTAAATTAACCAAGAACTCAAACTATATTACCAAAGAACAAGGCCACATACAGATAGATTGAAAAAATACGGACATGTTCAAAAAAATGTGCTGTATAAGAATATCTATCAAAGTTTAATTAGCAGACTTGATATATATATATATATATATATATATATATATTGAACTAAAAAATACATACGTAATGAGCAGTACAAAATAAACTTTTTGTTTCACGGTAATACAACAGTATCATGCAGCAATAAATGTACAGAATGAGCAGTAAAAGACATAACTCGTAGAGAACTAGCAAAGTATTTCTAATTTACTCTTTCTTCAAAAAAGAAAGAAAATATTGTTTCAGGACACTAAGTTCACAGAATTAATGATTATTGCTGGGAACTTGTTCCAGGTCTAAATTCCTGTGAATTGTGCATGCATTCTCTATACACATTAGACAGATATGATATAACAGGCTTATCGGGATACCGGGCGTACCGTGATAGCGGGACCCAAGTGGGCATGCGCAGATACGTACATTACCAATATCGCTTATCGTACGCGCACTATTTTTCAGAGTTAACGTGTACGTAAAACATGGCGGCGCTCTCGGGCACCCGCTTCGAAGTGATTTTTGGCATAGTTGTTGAAAGATTCAAAGGACTGTTTGAAGTGGTTTCGCTTGGCTTCAGTTAGCTTCGACGACTGAGTATTACAAATAAACTGGCGTAATTTTTGAGATAGCTTCCAATTTCGAACGTCTCTAGGCCTAACTAGAACATGGACATAAACAAATCGGCAACATAAATGTTTTGACACTTGGTGTATGGTTCATATTTATTTACTTTTATTATTACTTAAATAAACTTGTAAAAATGCTTTCTGCAGTGGGACAAGCAAACATTCTTGCTTTCTTTTCCTTTCCACAACTCTTTAACAATTAACTATCCTATAGATGGTGCCACCGTCCCAGCTTGGGAACGTAAGCCCCGTAAACGCTATCCTGCTAAACAATATGATGCTGTCCGCAACAAACAATTGCTGCACATTAATGCCATTCCTTTAACTTCCGCGATCGCGCTAGCGCTAACTGTAAACTATAACTCTCTATTGTTGCATGACGTGAAATTAGTGACCTGCACTTACATTCCTAGTACATCATAAGGATAAATAACATATAGATCAGCTGAACAAAGTTGAATTTAACCACCTTAAAAAAGCACATCGAAATGCTCAGCCGTCACAAGTATTAAACTGACAATATGTGATATTAGTATATAATGGGGCCACGTGATCATAATACCTACGTAATTCTTTTGGAGTTATTAGGGTTTAATAATGTTTTACACACCCAACCCCGTGAGTCATTAGAATAATGTTAAGTGACTTTGAATAAAAAAAAATACACGAGACTGAAAACCGGGACGTC